AGCCATTGCATTATCACTTCTATTACCTTGACTTGAGCACAGTCTTGAATATACTCAGAAAGTGCTCCACTTTGGGGCAGTACAAATGTGACTAATTCGTCTGTGGCTATGAAAGAAGTGATTCTGACCAGGTCACTTGAAATAACATTAATTAAAATGCACATCTGACTTGTCAAAAGTTAAGGTATTGTCAACCCTTTCTTTCTTAATTGTTGCTTAATGGTATTTTTTGCTTGTTCACTTCTTTGTTGGTGGGTTTTGGCAGTTGGCAAACAACGAAATTAGTACATTACTGTACCAGAATGTGCTTCTCTTTGTCAGATGTTTCATATTTAAGTACAGGTGCGGTAGTAATCAGGCCTGGGTGTGGCTAGAAACAGCAACCAGGTGAAACCACTTATCTTTCAACAGGGACTGAAATCACAATTCCAGGGTCATGTGGTTTTGTATTTTTTTCCCCTTCCCTCGATAGAAAACACCTTATTTTAAAAATTATTTTGTTCTTGACTTGTCTTTGCCTAATATTTAAGCTCGCTTGATATTCTGCAACACTAAGTGCTAACATGCAAAATATAAAGGAAATCATTAAGAGGGTGAAGATTTTTTCACACCACTTTATAGGTCGGTTGCTGATTAATGAATCTGTGTAGTTAATAACCCACATTCAAATTCGGGTTCTTACGTTGCTTCCAGCATATTGTGGAGTACATGAGTAGTGTCTGCTAAAATAAACAAGCTACATTGCTGTCAATGATTGTAAACTGCTGGAGTTGTTTGGTTATATGTAGAACTTCACATAAGTGAGCATGAGCAAAGAAAACAAAACCTCTCTTTCAGCCTCTCTCAAATTTTATTAAACAGTGTTAACTTATTTTTTTTTTTACATCAATACAAAAACTGAAAAGAAGAAAACAGCAGCTTTTAATCAGTCTTTGAACCGTTTACTTGAACACCAATGTATGGTTGTGCGGGTCATAGTGAAGTAAAACCCTCAGTGTGTTGCCAAATTATATTTTAGAAATGCTGAATTGTCTTTTCCGTCTTGGTGGTGTGCTTACTTCATTCAAAGTAAAACCTGACACCAGCTCTCTGCAATGTTTTTATTACCGTCTCAGAAAACATAGCTGCCATGACAGGAGGCAGTTAAGTTTGTTATATGCTAAGAAAGGGTGTTTCCTTTAATAAATAATAAATGCTTCCTATATCATCTCAAACACTTTACCTCATCAAAGGAAATCCCATAAAAACATGAGGACCGAGTGGAAAGTACCCGTTCTTACAGTCAATGTTTTGTTAAAACTGTCACCTGTATTGTCCATCCACATGAATGTAACCTGTATGAAACATACATAGGATAACAGCTGAAGTGCATGATGACCTTGTTGAGTTTTGAACCAGTGTAGTTACATTTTCACTTATTTCCTTAACTTTTTAACCTTTAGCATTAAAGTCAAGAAAATTAGCTTTCAGGAAAAGGTTTTTATTTTCCACACACCAGATTTAAACAGCTCTGGTCCAAGGAAATGCAAGTTCAGAATCAAACACCCGTAAAGCAATAAAAACCATTTCAAAACTGGGAATTTCTGTACTCTTAAATGCAGAAAAAAAAGAGAGCTACATGTCAGTCTGTGTTTCGACCTGCTACATCTGTATTTTCAGGGATGACAAACTTCTAAAATTTGTGGTGTATTTTCTCAAAGTAATATCAACTAAAACAAAACAACGAAATAAAAGGCAACAAAAAAGGGGGAGGCCACAACAGGTTAAACCGAAGAGTTCACAGTAACAGTCATTTCCATAGCAATAAAAAGCTACTGTAACACTGGGCATGTCCTGGACCAGAGCTGGACGTTTAGTCAGTCGTAAGAAGGTAGACATGATTTTATACTGGTGGCATTTTTTTATGCAAAAAATGCCACATCTGGTGGCATTTTTTGGGCCACCAGATGTTACAGACTGCTGGTTGTTTTTGTTTTAATTCAGTCATTTTTTACTGACATCAGCTTTACCAGGTTAGTACACAGATTTAGAACGGGGTGCAGCCACTCTCACTAAAACAAAAGAAAAATGCCTGTATGCGCAATTCTCAGGCAAAAACTTTGGGATTTAGTCAAGATGGCGACCATGAGGAAATTTACACTGTAAATAATGAAAATTTAGAGGTTTGATTAGGCTCGACGAGCCAGGGGTTTTGAACATTTTCTGCAACATCGGACCTAGCGCATCAGCGTGCTAGTTCTGTTCCAGATGTGCTGCGCTCACCAATTTTACTTCCAAATACTAATGTTAGTGAGCGCTCCTTAAAATGACTCAACACGTCCCATCTCTGTTCAGCTTATATCAACAGAGATGCAAACAGAACGTCAACACAGCATCAGGCAGGTGTTTAACCTGAAAGTGCTGAGGCATAAGTTGATGCTGTGATTTAAAACAAAACAGCAGCAAGATAAGCGATAACAGAGCCATGCTGTCCAACAGATCAATCCACCTTTTAATTGTTTTTCTTAGCTTTTGTTTTTTTTTTCAGGTCATATTTTATTTTTTTTATTTTTTTTTAAACATGCTGTTCATAAAAATAAGAATTGGTTGTTGGTCCAACTCCAGTCTCTGATGAAAGTGGTTGTTTCCTCTGGTCCAACAGAGAAGAGTTGGTGCTGAGATTTCTGAATGTTGCTGCTGGAGTTCAGAGCTTGACTGGTGGAATTGGGAAGAACTGGAGCTCCAGTAGCACTGGGACACTTATGAACTGGACCAAACCCCTATATTCATTAGCCTCCCTGTGTGTCTGCTGTGATAACACCGAGCATGAAGAGTCCCAGATGTTGATTATAGGGTTGAAAATCCATCACAACACTGATGCCACGCATACCGAACTGTTCTAATCTGATCAAATCCAAAAAAAAAAAAACAAAAAAAAACTACAGCTTGTTTTCAGGTGTTGGCCAGTTAAATGTGTGTGTATCACTTGGTTTATTATTTTACTAGATCCCTGCAGAGCCTTTAGTTTGAGTCCACAGTTGGAGCCCTGCCGACTGATTATCAAGTAGAACTGGTGTTTTAGAGAGAGAGATGTGGATGAGGATCAGCATGTCTGCTTCAACCTGTCTGACCTCTGACCTAACTCCATTCTGTGGGAGCATCAGTATGCCTGTGCCTGCTAACCCCCTGTGTTACACCATACAGGTAACCAACCCACTGCTTCAGTCTTCAGTCACTGACTCATTTGTCTTTAAAGCTCGAGTCCCTTGGATCTTTGATTCTCAGCTGATGCGTCCTGCGCCGCAGACCGATGTCGGCAACAGAACAAGAGAGTGTTCATGGAGCTACCCCCGTTTTCCTCTACCCCCACCCCCGTTTCATCAGGAGTCCTGGGAAAAGAAGCTCTAAAAGTAAGAAGTGTTGGGAGCAGTTTTCTGGAGAACAGACTCCGTGTGACAAGAGGCCCTCGGCTTCAGCGGGAATTCTGGAGTTCTTGGTGAAGCCAGGATGGCAGTGGTTGGCCCAGCCGGTTCAGCAGGCGTACCAGCTCCATATTGTGGTCACGGTAGTACTCTGTTAGAAAGGCACGTGACTGGAGAGAACACACAAACACATACACAAAAACTAGAGATTAGATATGTCTTTCAGTGTCTAGTGATTTGAGTGGACGCTCAACATTATATGCAGTACACTCACAAATACTGCAAATATGTCAATTTGAAATTTATTCGAAATGTTCAAATATCGATTTTTAAAATGTTTTAAGGAAAAATTGTGTTAGTTTTGGTGAGGTGTCTATTGGTCATGTTGATTATACTGGAATTGAGTTTGGTGTTAATGAAACTTAAAACATATTTTAAAAATCGATATTTGAGCATTTCGAATCATACCAGCAGAACTAGAAGTTGCAATCCTTTATAGGATTGATTTTTCTGCACATTTAAAGGAGATCCCATTACTCTACAGATAACTTCAACAACAATTATGTTAAGTCTTTTTCAATCCTATTTCTGCTCTTCAAGGACAACTCTAGTTTTATTATTAAACCTCCAACATAATGCACCAGCTGTATTTTTGCCAAAAGTGATTTTCACAAAAAACAAAGAAAAATCATTGACAAAAAATGACAGACGATTATTTTAGGAAGATGACAATATTAAATGTTGCCAGTTTTTAAATAATGTAATCAGCTTAACTCACTAACATTTGATATTTAGAGGTAAACTAGTGCTTCTGTAACGGAGGTGTTAATGTACCTCAGAACTCATCTCTGGATACTTCCTGCCTTTGCTCTTTCCGAGACATTTGGACCGGGCTCCTTCCACTCGCTGACACCAGAAACCTTTACCATCGTCATACCTGCAGACAAACAGTGGGTCATTATTACAGTGCAGCACACCTTTCACTGCGTTTGGGTTAAATAATGCTGCTTCTTTGAATTTTCTTTTTAAAGGAACACTGGATTCTCCTCAACATGAAACAGAACCGGACCTCCACAAAGAACCAGAATGTGTTCAAATGCAGAGCTGCTGCGAAGACTTTGAATCCAGGAACCTGTTATAGCTTAATCCATAGATTTGATTATAACCAAAACAAGCACACATTTTAATAACTGATGAAATATAATTCCTTTGCAGAGTAAAGGAGAAAACAATGCATTTCTTGTTCTGTATTTATATCTTAGCTTTCCTGCTCTGAGTGGTCATTAATTATTTATATTTGGTCTATCACTTAATCACATGACAAATTAAAACCAGCTTAATATTTTCCATTTTCATGATTTATCATTTTTCTCTTTTCTCTCTGGATGACAAAAGTCTTCAGTCTGGTGTTTTGGTCTAAACTGATCCCCCTTTTATTTGAAGGATAGTTTTGTTTATAGACACTTCATAATTTATTTTATTTGTTGTTTCTGTTCATTTATGTTGCATATTTGAAATGTCTTCCAGTTCCTGTGTTACATGTTTATTAATCATTGAGAATGTGTTTTTGCATTACTAATGCCACTGCCATTATACTGCTTCAAAATGGTCTCAAAACAACAATAATGTTTATCACAATAACTTCTGGGACAATTGATCATCCAGCAAAAGGAGTTATTGTGACAGGCAGCATCACACCAGGAGCCCTGTGGTTGTATTGGTAAAATGTCAGACGAGGTTTTATCAGTATTTTTAAATAGTGATTACGAGGCTGACATTAGTCCTTACACAACTCTTGGTTGCTGCACTCAGTTCAGCCTCCCTGTTATCTATATACACAGACCCTGTCCAAAAAACTAGAAAATCTTCAAAAATTGATTAATTCCCATAATTCCATTCAAAAAGTCAAAACTTTCATAGGTTATAGACTCAGGCTCCACAGCTTAAACAATTTCAAGTATTTGTTTGTTTATTTTTTACATCATTTTGGCTTCCAGCTCATAAAACCCAAGAAAACAAAAAATTTGAATACTGTGGACAAATAAGCTCAAATTTTACAGGGCATGAATGTTGTAAACTGAATGTGTGCAGGTGTCATTAAATGACTTCAGTTTGGTTCAATACGGGGAAGACTGCAGACCTAACAACTGGCCAGAAGACCATCATTAATGTCCTCCATAGGATGGAGTCATAATTCATTGAAATCTTCTGTTATTTCTGTCAATTGAGCTTAAGAGAAAGAAGTTTTCTAACATAACTGGCAATAACCTCTTTGTAGCTTTTAAAATAACTAATAGATTTTTTTAATTAACTAAATCTCAAGATATTTCAAGATAAGTGAATAAATATGTGTATGTTCTCTAGCATTGACACGTTCAATGACGAGAGAAACATTGGATTTCTGAGTTGTCTCAGAAACTTAGATTGGTTTAATTGCTGACCTGATGAGACTGCTATGCTAGCTGGGTAGCTTCCAACAAGAAACTATTAGAAACATGACATGTTGCCTCTAATATGAACCAATGAACAGAAGGTTTAAAAGTCTCAAAAATATTAACACTCAACACTTGTTTGAATGCACTTTTCCACATTTACACAAAAAGCTAATTTAAGTAAGTTTGAGTTTCCCTTAAACTCTGTAGGTTTCTAAAAACTGCTTGGTTGCAGCTTGGATTTGTGTGTTGCATTACATTAAAGCCTGTGTGTAGTTGAAGATGGGAGTAACACCCAGAAATCTCTGAATTCCCTCCATCACCAGAACAGGATTGGAGCGCAGCAAGGCCCCGTCCACAATGTGCAGCTGAGCGAAGGAACAGAAACAGAAACAGTCAGAGGATTCTAGGAGAGCAAAGTCAATCTGGAGGGAAGATTCAGATTTAAAACTGGAGAGAGAAACTCTTCAACAAGAGTTACAGAAAAAATCTTCAACATTGTTTTATATGATGGTTATTGTAATAATAAACCAGTTTTACCTGGCTGGGTTGGTAATACTGCAGCCATCGCTCCAAATGAGAGGCGTAGGCCCCTGGATAAAGGCACCGTTTCTGCAGAACTAGCAAGGCTCTGGGGGACGAGGCGGCTGCGGTTACCACTGCATGGAAGGTGTTGTTGAGCGCCGCTGGGTCCTGGTGGGCTCTCTGGTGCTGGAGTCACAAACAACAACAAAAAAATCTAACTGAAACCTTGTGCAAGCTAATATAGATAATATGAGTAACTTAAGGCAGAACAGATTCTGGTTTCAAAAGTTAAAAATTCCTGACTAAGGTGGGCTGAACTAATGCACTCCACATTTTTCAGATTTTTACTAAAAGAAAAGAAAAAAGTTAACTTGGCAGCTGTCCATGGGTCCATTGGGGTATTGTACCTGATACCAGGAGTATGCTCTGTCAGACGGGTTGATGAGCACAGCCAAGACTTTGGCTCTGGGTAACAGTGCTGCTGCTCGTTTGGGAGCCATTTCTGAGTCAAAGTAATTGGCACTTTTTTCAAACATGAAGTCTGCACTGACATTGGAGGGGAATGGGAAGAACTCCATGTACCTAAAAGAAAAAAAGAAAAAGACAAAAACAAAATCATTCAAATCCATGATCATTAAGGCTGCATTACATTTGGAATATGTAATTATGTGATTGTAATGTTGAATGTTGCAATATTGAGTCTCTTGTCTGGGACAGGGAGAATCTAAAAGTGGAGTAAAGTATGTGCTAATAAGATCTACCAGTCAATCCCGTTGTCATAATTGAGTCCACTGAAGAACTGGATTTCTTCAAAGGTGGTGGCGCTGGGGAAGGAGCCAGTGATGGCCGGGTGGAGGCTCAGGAATGAGTGAAGTGCTGTAGTGCCTTGATGGAGGAAACGATGATGAAATTCAAAAGGCTAAAGAGGAAAAATGACTGAAAATGGAGATGAGGAGAGCTACCTGTTTTCTGTGGTCCAATAATAAGGAATTTAGGAAGTCTGTCACAGGTTTTCTCTTTGGACCAGATGTCTTTGTGTCTTTTGTCGTGACATGGGTTCTAAAAAAAAAATAAAAAAATAGTTTGTTTTACATTCAGTAGAAATGTCAAATACATATTTTTTTTATTATTATTATTATTTCCATTTCCTTTTCTCAAAACTGTACCTGCCAGAGTGGGTTCCTTTCTTCTGGGAAGATCTGGAAATATTTTTCTGCCAGTTGAACGGGAGGTAGGGTCTGCAGCCTGAGGTTTGTCCAGCACTGGACAAACTTCACCAGAGATTCAAAGGTGTAGAGGCCCAGACGATCATTTCCATAGTTGGACAGGTGAGTCATGAAGATGCTGATCTGCGTTGCATGGACAGTGAATGAGCGTATTGGTCATGTGGGAAACTGGGAGGGTTGAAAAAGCAATCATTGCTATGATAGCAATTCTGTCCAGATATAGTGTCCAATGGGGACCTCAAGTACAAAAAGTAAGAACTTTTAGAGTTAAGGCTGTAAAGGCTTCACAAATGAAACTGTATTCTAGAACCATTGTTCTTTAATGTAAAAGAATTCTGTCCATGTTTAAGTGTCCTAAATACAAACACGCTAGCCTACCACTCCATTTGTGTTTATATTTTGTGAGGAAGGAAGTTGCACTTCGTTCGTGTCATTTTCTTCAGTGGTTCTTGGGAGAAAGATGAGGGCTATTTGTATGACACAATGTATCGCGAGAGAACTACAACATTTGTAACATTGCAAATGTTACAAATCAAACCAAGTCTACATCGTAGGTGGTGTAGTTTTCAACCTGGACCTCATTTCAAAAGCTCCTCCCCATTCAAAGATTACTAAAGTTTTACAGAATCTGCAGTCAGGATAAATGAATCCAGTTCCAGTATAGTGCACCAGACACACCACCAGATATTTCCTGGGAATCTGCACTGCTGAGACTGATCCCTGTTGTCTTGACATGACCAATGCTTCGGAGCCATTGTCTTCTTCTTCTACTACTTCTCTACAACTCTAACAACGAACACATCAACAGCTGGAACTTGCTGATGCATCTGTAGACAGAGCCTACAGATCCATCTGCAGTGTGGCACGAGTTACTACTGATGACGTGAACTTAAGCAGCTCTGCGGTGCAGCGTCTATATGAGAGTGGAGTTGACTTACAGGGTTTAGGAGAACGGTGAGGAAGAGTTCTCCTCCTTTGATGCTCTTATCCAGCTCCTTGGAGCCTCCAGGGTATTCGTTATAGAAGATGGTGTGTGTGAAGAGGCCACAGGTCTGCCTGGGCAACACCTGCAGAATGAAGGACAATCAGCATCTCTGCTCCTCTGACTTCATTAAAGACTTAAGGCAGGACAATACGCAGAAGGTCGTCTCACCCACCGTATGTATTTTGAATAATTGTTAATTTTTTTTTTATTCAAGAAAAAGTTAAGCTAACCTAATATTGGTAAAATAAGCTATATAATTTATGAAAAAGCTATTTTTATTAAAATATAAACTAACAAAATTTGATACATTAGGGAACTTTACAGATTTGGTTTAAATGTCTTTTCCTCTTGCCAGTCGCAACATTTAAACAGAATCTGGAGACTGTTTGAAAGGAAATTGGCTTCTAAATTGAACTGTGACACTAAAGATCGCAATCGAGTCACGAGATCCTCATCTCTGTAGATCCAACAGAAAACTTGCTGCAGAATCTGAAGCTGGCTGGGACCTGAACCCAGTGGAGCGCACTGACCTTGATTCCGTTGTGGATGAAGCCCCGGCGGTACCTCGCTGGCCTCAGATGAGGGTACTCTTCAGTGCTGGTCACTTTGATTCCCCACACAGACTTCCAGGCTTCATACAGCTGGGTGTGGACAGGGTAGACCCCGGAGTGGTGCGGAGCCACTGCGTAGCCCATGTCTGTTGGGATTCCATGCTCCTACAGAGGGCAGCAATACCCAAACGTCTCAGTGCTCCTTCCTCAGAAGAAAAATGTCTTATTTATTCTAAGTAAGACATTAGAATAAGTGCAACACATTCGCTAAACTGTTTGGTTTAGCGAAAAACCTGGAAGCAGGGTTGAGTTGTGTTAACAGCAACGTACTGCTCTCATTTTAGCAGGACTGCAACTAATGATTACTTTACTAATCAATTATTCTATTGACTGTTCTCACAATTAATACATTTTTAAAATTCTGCAGATTTTTCATTTAAGTAATTTTTTTTCACAATATTACAAATACATTTAAAATGATCAAATAATTCACATCCTTTTTTTCAAATATGAAAATGACAATTTTATAGCCTAAAATGCAACAACAAAGCATTCCTTTAGTGTGTGCTTGATCATTTGTAGCAAAAGGATGCAAAGAATCTATTGATTCTTGTTTTGATAAATACATTTTATGCAAATCGTGCGCAATAGAAGATTTTTCTTCATCAGAACTTGAATCAGATGAAGCTAAAAATGAAACTTGTGGACTTCTGGGTTGAACATATTTAGATTTTTTTATTCTAAATGTATGCATGTTTGGCACAGTTTTGGCTTAATTACTGTTCTGGCTGTGTTGTCCTTTCAGCAAATGGCCATTTTTTTAATCCTCCAGTTAACAATTAATCAATTAGCTGATGATTATTTCAATTATCAATTAACTGATTGTATAAACCAGCGCTTGAGCACAGAATATCTAAAAATATGGCTGTGGAGAGACCTGGTGCCACATAATGGTGAATTTACAGCTTTTTCGGGCTGGAGGCATGACACTGTTCTGACCTGAGCTGAATGATTCTATTCTGAACAATTTGCTGCTACAGTTTTTGGATCTGTAAAATTTTTACTCTATCTTTGACCATACAAATAGGAGAAACTAAAGCATGTGAATAAGTGTGTAAAGCTGCAATGCTTCAAGAAGTGAAGTGGTTTATCCAGCACTCATTGAAAGCGTGGACCAGAACATGCAGCGTTACGGTATCAGGCTGTCTTCATCAGTTTTGCAGCAGCCAAATATGAAGAGAATCTTCTCTAAATGTCAGGAAAGGTAGTTGGGGGGTTGGGAGGGAACAAAAAAAACTGAAATCTTAACCCTCACATTCAGCTTATTGTTCAAAACAACAAATCAGGTTAAGAGGAAAGAGCTGAAACGACCCAACATTGTCCGGCGTTTCTCCGTTACTGAACAGTTTGTTTAACAAACATCCTCCATCTGAGTCTCCTGTTACCTGAGCAAAGATCCTGTTGAGCTTCATTTGCTCAGCCAGGACGCTGACATTGTGAAAGAGGTGAGGCTGCATGTGGCTCCACATGTGAGGGAACCACCAGAAGTCCTTCCTGTGCTGCAGCAGCATGTCGTCTCCCTGGTCCTCCTCATCGGTTCCTGGAAACACCCACATATAAACCAAAAAATTTTATGGTCTCCTCTAACTTGCAGTCAGATTCTACAAAACTCAGAGCGACATGAATCATTAAAGAGGAAAAGGGTCGATTTAATCTTACAATGTTTAGTACCTGTGTGGTAGAATTTTCCGGAAAATCCCAGATTGAAGGTGAAATTAGGAACCAGCGCTCTTAGCTTATTTTGAGTGTTCAGCAAGGCCTGCGAAAAACCAGAGAAAA